TTTATGTACAAAATAAAATATGGACTCCACCAATATTTCAACTACTATTTAGCAAAATAAATCATTAATACCCTACTAAATTCTCATATAGCTACTTCATCCCTAAATTTACATTAAAGTTAAATTTATACTCATTCCAAGACCGAGGACCTTATATGATGGAAGTTTTTCAGCAGATTCTTTTTGTCAAGAGAAATACACTTAAACGACTTTAATCTGAATCAAATAGTTTTTCATTGTCGACGGACTTGACATTTTCTTTTTCTTTTTTAGTAAAAAAATATAGTGCCACAATTTGTTTCTTTTATTTGCCTTTCAATTTTTTTTCAATTTATTCTTAACCACCTATTGTAAACATTTTTACAAAATAAATCATTTTGAAATGTTTTCTTCTAGAGTTTGCTTAAAAATATTTCTCTGTTCTTTGATGTTCCACTAATCTAATGAGTATTTTAATGTTTTCTCAATTTGTGATTTTATCCCTCACCAGCACAAAACGTATTCTATTTTTTTTATTTCTTAACTTTTTAAAGCTTAGTCCACTAATATGGCACTCCTGCTGGACATCGTTTTCAAAAGATTGTTTGACCGTGGGAATGCTAAGCTGAGATTCAATAATATCATTTGTCAATTTTTTATCCAAAAGGCGAATAAATAAGTTCAGTTTATTCTGATGAATGCACTTTGATATGTCCCGAACTTTAAATAACGAGTGAAAATAAATTTTGCAATGTTTTGAAAGGTTAAAAAACAATTTTAATGCGCTCCTTTCAATTCTGTCTAAGTTTTGTATTGTTATGCAATTGGTTTTACAAAGTTCCAGACCGTAAGTTAATGTTGGTACTACCAAGGTTTGATATAATTGAGTGATAGATTTTGGATGAGTAAAACGGATTCCAGATAAACTAAATATTTTTTCAGGAATATTTATCCGATCAATTGAGGCAAAAAAAGAGTGCTCTGTATCCCATGTAAACCCCAAGTGTTTGAGTCTTTTGTGTAAATTTATTCAATAACCATTGAGAGATACCGTGCAGCTTTGTAACTATCTTTTACTTGTCAGGAGGAACTCTGTTTGATCAGGGTTTAATTTTATGCAATCTGAATTGCATTATACGTTACAAGTTTTTATTAATTTTTCTAGACCAGACAAAGTTGAGCTTAAAAGTATAATATCATCAGCATGCGTACCACACCAGTGAATTTACCATATATAAACGTACCTACGTTGCTTACATTTTTAATGGTTTCAAGAAGGAGAAGGTTTTATTTGTTCTAAACTTATTTTTCAAAAATAGTTTATAAATTACCAGTTATATCAGTTATGAAATAAAAATAGTTTATATATTACCAGTTATATCAGTTATGAAATAAAAATAGTTTATATATTACCAGTTATATCAGTTATGAAATTTCGAACTTAACCTTTCAATACAAAGACTTAACCATAAGCATATAAAAAAAAGTCGGAAATTTTTCGCCGACATCAAATCTTTCGCCGGTATCAAAAAATATATATGTTATTAGCGGAAAAACCCAGACCAAAATTTTTTTTTTTTTTTTAAACCTTCTTAAAATGATAATTGTTTGTCCAAATTGGTATAAGATTTTAACTAATTATGTTTTTTAGATGAAATTAACATTATAGTTTAGTAATAAGATCTGTTTTGATCGTTTATAGGCAAATTATCTCAATTATAAGCTCTTTTTTGGTCGGAATTTTAGTATTTTTTTGTGAAAATTGTACTTTGACAACCATTGGCATTAGCCTCCCCCCCCCCCCCTACTCCCAATTATTTTTCGAATAATTAATTTTGTCAATTAAGTTAGTTTTTAGAAAAAGCAAACAAATACAAATTAAGATATAAAAGAAACAAAAGGATAGAAAAGACCTAATTTGTTATCCGTATATCGGAGTAAGTTTCATTGACAAAATTTTTTGACCTACTACTATTTGACCTAACCAGTAGTATTGCCTCCCCGCCTCTCCCCTCCCCCTTAATATAACTTTTGTTTCCCACGGGCCTGATATATAGTTAATATGGGGTAGATTAGGGTAATATGAGCATACTAAAAGATTTCTAAGATGTAAGCAGTAAACTTAAAACTGCTTTGAATTTTTCAAATTGACTTCATGAGGTTATAACAGAAATTAGTATAATTAGCATAAATTTGTATGAAGTAAATAGCGGCTCTCATCTAATTAAAACGCTATTATATATTTTGCGTTGTTAAAATATTATCATCACGCATGAATAAATCTGTGCCGCGAAATTTCAATGCTAAAATAATGAAATTTAATTTTTCATAAAGAAAAATATGTTAGTTAAAAATCCGTTTCATTTTGTTTGAAAAACAATGCATAGAAACGTTTAGTTTTGACTTTATTTAAAGATACCATTTTTGTGTAAAATAAGCATGTTCAATTTGCCCAGTGTTTTTTATTGAAATTACCTAGTTTAAAATCGTAAAATTGCAGTGGCTTTAATTTTGAATAAAATAAAATATTGTAAACTTTTTAAAATATTTTTATAATGATATCTTTCTGCAATTTCAATTCCAAAAATTTGTAATTTTATCGTTTTATTTTTAATTTGAAGGTTTAAGTTAATAAATTTTAAACTTAAACAGCTGTCATAAAGTCGATTTTTTAATGAAAAGGTTATTTAATAACTAATCATTATAAATTACAAGTGGTTTGGGCAATATGAACACTTTTGCTACATTTTTAAAACCTTTTTGTTTTTAAAAAACAATTTTGGGTGATCAAATATCTATGTGGATCTAAAAATAGTTTATTCGCAAAAATTTTAGTTCCAGCATTTTGATTTTTGAAACAATTTTTGCTTTTAACGCTGATGAGCAAAAATCAAAAGGATCTTAAGACTCCAAAAAATGGATTTACTATAATAGGGTAGTCAAAAGGTTTTGAAAGTATATATAAAAAAGAAAAGTTTCTTTAAATATTAAAAAAAACCTGAAGCAAAAAAAAAATTAATATCTTAAGCTCCTTTTTGGACATAATACGCTGATAAAACCATGCTAAATAAATTGTAAATTACCTTATCTACACCAAGTAAGTAAGGCTACGGCTCAGGATGTCTTTTTTAATTATGTAAACTCTATTTGTTACGTCATGGTAATAATAACTAACATTGCATAATTATATAATTTTTGTTTTCGTTTGTTATTTCCACGTGCTCCAAGTTTTTTCAATTTGCAACTTAAACTTTTAAACTTTAAATGGATAGATAGATAAATAGATTAGTAAAGACAGTAGTAAGTTAAAATAATTATGTTAAAATAATTATAACATTGGAAAGACAGTAGTAAGTTTACATGTTAAAATAATTATAACATTTGAAAGACAGTAGTAAGTTTACATGTTAAAATAATTATAACATTCGAAAATAATATTTTTTTAAAATAGATTCAAAAATATAAAATATTATAAAATTGTTGAATCGGGATATCATTGGTTAAAATGATGAAATTATTTAAAAAAGTGAATACTCTTGTTGAATACCAACTGTCGATACTTTCACTTGAATACTTTCTTCTACATATAGAAGTCTAATGGAATTAACCAATTTTTACTACGTATGTACCACTTACTAAAAAAATATAGTTCCCGTAGCTTTTTTTGTATATTACATTCTCTTATATTATTATCTTTTTCATTTGAGAATAATGAACTACACTATTTAAAATGAGGTGCAATAGTTGTGTAAAAAAAAATTATTTTTCCACCCAGTCAGTTATGATATGATACAAGTTATAAAATAAACTTTCATCTTAGATATTTTGACAAATAATCGGTTTAGTAACATTCTAATTATTTTTAATTTTATTACCAAGTACCTGGGTCAGGTACTTAATAATTCACAAAGTTATACTTTTTCATTTTCCAACATTTTCCTAGAATGTTTTTGTAGATAAGAATATTTTTCAGTGATACTCAAGTAATTTTATTTAAAATTTGTAAACCGTATACGCATTTATTTACTTGCATTCATTTCATTCATACTAACCAGCTTCAATGTTTTTAAACTATAAAAATATTTATGTTGTTTATAGCTAACAGAAAAAGCCACACATTTATTTATAAAAATGAAAATAAGGCTTTTTGTTACATAAAACAATGTAAACTAAAATATACAGTTTGCTTTGCAGCATGCTTAACACTCAAAAGGTTTGGTAATACAGGTTAGAACCTTTTTTCTATTTATTTAATATCAATAATAGATGCCTTAAGCAGTTAATAGTTAAAGCACTTTGAATTTATTTATTTATTTATTTTTTTTAAAAAGTGAAAATAAATTGGTTTATCAAAAGTTTTCTTTTTATTCAATCTGAAAGGTTAATATAGAACATTATAAAGCAAAAAATGTACTGATAATGACACAAAGCATCAGTTTTGAGAGTTGGTGAACATCAGATTCAAATTAAGAGTACATAACACATTTCTTCCGTCAGTTTTTTCTTCCCAAATTGCTGATGCTAAAAATGAAAAAGTATATAATTTTGCAAATGTTCCTATTTTAAGTTATTATACATATGTTAAAACATATGTTAAAAAAGTCTGTGTTTAAGGTAGAATATTGCAAACGGTTTGAGTTATGTAGAGATTTATAAAAGAAAGTTCAACAAAAATTCCAAAATATTTTGAGTTACTAAAAGTTTAGGGTTTGAGTTATTAGGAGTACTTTTTTTTATTAGGAATTTACTTTTTTTCTAATTATTTAAAATAAAATATAAGTTTGTTTAGTATATAATTTACTAATTACTATTTGTGTAAAATAAATTGTTTTATATCTAGATGTTAATAGTAAGTTTTGGATTGTTCGCGTGGAATATATTGTATTGATGCAGCAAAGAATATATACAAGAATAACACAAAAATAAAGGCAAAATCAATAAAATAAAATACAAATAGTAACTTAATCATTAATAATTAACTGTTATTTATGTATTTATTTTATATTTTTAGATAGCCGAACACACTCGTATGAGGAGTTTTATCAATGAGCGCAAAAAAATTTGAATGCCCAGCCAAAGTTACTTTGAAGGAAATTATATACTTCAAGGATTAAATGATAACTTTAAAGTGGTTCACTAAGGTGGTAAGGATTTTTATTGCTATTTATAGTACGTCAACAATAAAAAAAAGTTTTATGAATAGCATTTTAAACATGTTTTATATTTTATAATTCACGCCAATATTAGAACTGGTTTTAATTCAAAGCAGAAAGGGTACAAAGCTATTTAAATAAAACAACCTTGTGGTGTTGTTTTAATGAGACAATGTTGAGATGCAATATATTTCAATGCAGGTCTGGAAGTATTGAGTAGATTATAATATTGAAGTCTAGATATCAGTAATGATTATTATATAATATTTGAACTAATTACATATTAATGTAAATAGTTTTTAGGGCATGTCGCTGCATAAGCTGTATTATTTATAAACATTAATTACCTTTTTTTTATTTATTTCCATTTTCATAAATTTTATTTTATGAAAAGTTTATTTTCATAAACTTTTCATAAAAAGCTCACTGAACCAAACACATCGAAAAGAGAAAAATTTCTTTAAAAAAATTTGTTAAAGAACAAGAGCGACATCAGGGTCATTGAGAAGCAAATTAGGCTAATTATTGTAGAAATTTTAAAACACAGAAACCATGTCATTGGAGAAGTGAATTAAATTTTATTATTAAGTTGTTTATAAAGTAAATGTCTTGAAAAATTTATAAAATATTTTTTATTTTTTAAAAAGATTTTTTTATAAATATTTAGCTTGTCAGTTTTTAAGTCATGCAGCTGTCGTTCTTAAGTCTACTATACTATAGTTACTATACTTAAGTTAATATTTTACATACCATATAGGGAGATTCCATGTGAAAACATCCAATTTTTTTTGAAAATGCAACCATAAGTCTCAGATTTTGCTGATTTTTAAACCACTTAAAGATTTTAGTAAATTATGAACATCCTGAAAATTTTATCGTCTAATTTCAATCGGTTCCTAAGATATAGCTATTTTAAGTTTGCCTCCAACCAAATCCGCCATTTTTAAAAATGGTTTTGATCCTAGTTTCTGTTATATGTGTGTTGGAAAGCTGAAAATTTGTACCTTTACATATTTTGGGCCAACGAATCCAATGAAACAACTTAAAATATTTAAAAACAAGCATAACACCTAAAATTTGAACGTTTACCACAATTTTACTGGGGCGAGTCCGATCACAAAAATGTCGATGTAGCTCGATTTTTTTTTTTTTTTTTTTTTTTTAGAAGTTGTTCTGAATAGTTAAACTATAGTTACTACAAAGAATTGGAGAGTGGTCTTTTCTAAAACAGAAATAAAAGTTTCAAGGGGGAGAATTATATAAATGCAGATGTATATTGCAAATTTAGTTTTTTTTTCAGAAGTTGTATTAAATAGTTTAGTTGGAGTTATTACAAAGAATCAGATTGCGGTCTTAAATCAGAAATAAAAACATCTTCAAATATACTTAAATTTATTACTTATAAAACATTAGTTTCATATTTATCAAACTTCATTTAATAAACTTAAAAAACAAAGACTCCAAACAAATAGAGCACTCGGAAAGAAGTTCAAGAAACAAAAGTAATATACAAAATTTAAAAATTAAACACTCAAAAAAATTAAAATTTATCAGTTATTGTGTTATAATCATTCACATCAATGTTATATGTTCGCCCTGATTTTGTTGTTGGGACTTTGATTACTGCAATCAAACTCGACAATGGTACCCAACAGATATCATCTCTCTGTGGCCAAATAAAGTTTTAAGAAGGGCCGTGAGGGTACTGCTTTTGACAGTATAAATCTGTCAACACATTGGTGTTCGCTTGTTCTTTTAAAACTAATTTCAAATTTTGAAATAGGTATGTAATGATGATAACTTCTGGTACCTGGAACAGTTTTTCCTGTTTCAAATTGCTCCTTTAGTTGCTGTCTCCTTGCATTAACTGTTTCTTTGGAAATTTTATAAAATATGATTGTGTTTATATTGGTGATGCAAAATTCAAGCATATCATCAACTGTTAATATTTGGTTTTCCAATGCCCTTTGCAAACTTGCTTTTGCTGTTATTCTTTTAACGATACCACCTATGCCATCACAAGTGGATTTTCCATGGCTGGTTGCAAAAAATACCCATTCAGCTGTAATCTCAAAATCTTCCTTATGGTGGCATAGATTTATAAAGTTTTTATAGTTTTTATAATGAGCAGAACATCCATCAGAAAAATAATAAATTTTATTGATACCAACTAAATATTCCTTAATGTACTCTACAATTTTCTTTTGAAATTCATACACAAAGCATGTATCATGATCATTGTCATCACTTAAAAAACAGAATGACTTATGCTGAATATTCGTTTTAGAAAATTCCTTAAAATATATAACAACAGGATGAAGTGTACATTGTTGTTTATTCCAATGATAACTTTGTATTTCATCCTGTATAACAAATTGATAGTTCTCTGCAAAATCTGCCTGTATAATACATTCATTGTAACCTAAATTATTTTTTAGTTCTTTCAAATAGCGAGTTTGGCATTTAGCAATATATGAATGTGAAGTTAGATGATTAATGTGAGAAACAACTAGTTCTTTATATTCAAATAAGTTAACTGATTGAGTAATTAATTGTGATCTATCAGTACTTTGCCATTGGTTGAATTGAATTTCTTCTTCTTCATCAATCTGAATTAATTCCTCATCTAAAAATGCCTTTAAGTTATCATAACCTGGACATTTAGCACATCTATGAACCATGCATTCATTATTGCTTGTATCACATACTAATTTTGACATTAAATCTTTGTATGTAACATTCCATTGGACAGCATTTACAAGCAATATTGAGTTTTGATGGTAAATACAAACACATACACAGTGTGTACCATTTGGTCCCACACTAATACACCATTTTGGACGCAAACTACAAAACTTTGAAAATCCTATTTTATAATTAGGGTATTTACTTTTAAAATCAATATAAAGCTCATGAAGGTTGCACAATAATAATCTTTTTTGTTGTGGAGGACCACTTTTAACTTTAACACAATCTTTTTTACCAGGCATAATTCTAGAATGTTCATCTTGTTGAAAAAAATCTTGAACCAAAGCTGTAAGAAAGTCAGGTATTTTTTGGCCTTTTTTCTTATCCGGTATAGCAAGAATTCCATTTTCACTTTTAAGTTTCCTAGCACGTCGTATAAGATGTTCAGAAACTTCAAAATATTTTTTTTTTTTTGTTTGAAGTTTTTCTTTCATTAAAGTTGTCAAATGATCAAGATCATTTGCTTTTTTTTTATCCATAGATTGACTGGAAAAAGTTGAGGCTACACTTAAATTATCTATATTTACTCCATAAGCACTTGCTACACCTTCTTCCATTTTTGTGTAGGCTTTGACTAATTTTCTTTTTGCTGTTACAACTCGTTGATGCTTTGCGACACCATGAACTTTAATTGGTGAGACTTCAATTGATATTAAAGAATTGTCTAACTGTTATTTATTACAAGATTTATCTTTAACAAATAATACATCGCCATCAATTTCACTATCCATTTCATTATCAGAAACTTCATCGCGACTTGACAAAAACTGAATACATGAACGACAAAATTTCCATCCTGGTTTACAGTCTAGATTTTTGGATTTAAGGTCATGAGCCATTTCAAGAGATATGGTTGTTTGACCTAAAATAAAAACATTAATTTTAAATAAACATACCCTGCTTCTAAATTTATATATATATATATATATATATATATATATATATATATATATATATATATATATATATATATATATATATATATATATATATATATATATATATATTATATTATATTATATTAATTTATATAATATATATATATATATATATATATATATATATATTATATTATAATATATTAATTTATATAATATATATATATATATAAGTTAATATATAATAAATAATTATATATATGCGGTAGTTGTGTAGTGGTAGACCGCTCGGTTCATAAGCGAGAGGTTCCGAGTTTGATCCCCACCACGTCCCTGGTAGTACCGCACTCAACTTGTTTCTCCGTACAGCGGCTTTATTTGTCAAGGTTCGTGTTTCGGAGTTATAGAGTCAAGAGAGGGTTATAATCATAAATAAGTAGCCTCCTCGTCTGTAGTGGCCTTCTCGGCCTTGAGGAGGTGAATTATCGAAAAATATATATTACCTTTAACCTTCTTTTTGTGTCTTTTTAAAACATCGCAACACTTATCATTGTTTAGTAGAAATATCGGTCCAAAAACCTGCTCATGATGATAACAAATAGACTTTATCTCTTCGTATGATGTAGTCTCAAGCAAACCAGACCTCCAAATATAAGTATCTTGAAAGTCCTTTTCTAGATTACAAAAATCTTTTAATCCTTGTTTTCGAACAAAACATATTTTGTGACATTCATCTTTTAAAACTTTTCCAAACCCACAAGATTCCATTTTATCAATATACTATTATTATTTCTAAAAAAGATGCAAGAAAAATCTATGATTCATTCAATGTGTTCATGGGGTCAAGGTTGTTTAGAATTAGAAATTTAAACTTAATTAGTAAGCATTCTAACTTTAATTTTACAACCTTTAAACATTTCTAAACCATAAAACTACTAAAAAAATAGAAAGAGCAATTCAACAACATCTTAAATAACATTTCGATATAGCCGAAACTGTTTCAGCTACAGAACTGTCAAATTATCACATCTTTTTGTATAGTTTAATTTATCAAAATACCTGTTTTTTTAGCAATAAATTTAAGTAGATTTGACCATATTTTTATTTCTGTTTTAGAAAAGACCACTCTCCAATTCTTTGTAGTAACTATAGCTTAACTATTCAGAACAACTTCTAAAAAAAAAAAAAAAAAAAAAAAAAATCGAGCTACATCGGCATTTTTGTGATCGGACTCGCCCCAGTAAAATTGTGGTAAACGTTCAATTTTTAAGTGTTATGCTTGTTTTTAAATATTTTAAGTTGTTTCATTGGATTCGTTGGCCCAAAATATGTAAAGGTACAAATTTTCAGCTTTCCAACACACAT